ACATGAGCCTCTGATTGGTTGCTTTCCACAACTACTGATTGTGGGCCACTACTTCATTTACATTCGGTGAGTACCAAGTGGCCAATGGGAAACCTCTGGGGAATTTTTGGACTCAAGAAGATTCTGTAAGGCCGGGCGCGGTGGCTCAAGCCTGTAATCCCAGCACTTTGGGAGGCCGAGGCGGGTGGATCATGAGGTCAAGAGATTGAGACCATCCTGGTCAACATGGTGAAACCCCGTCTCTACCAAAAATACAAAAAATTAGCTGGGCATGGTGGCACGTGCCTGTAATCCCAGCTACTCAGGAGGCTGAGGCAGGAGAATTGCCTGAACCCAGGAGGCGGAGGTTGCGGTGAGCCGAGATCGTGCCATTGCACTCCAGCCTGGGTAACAAGAGCAAAACTCCGTCTCATAAAAATACAAAAAAAAAAAAAAAGAAGATTCTGTATCCAGGGCCCTTCCCACACTGTGCTGTGTACTTTCATTTTTAACAAATCTCTGCTTTTGTTGCTTCATTCTTTCCTTGCTTCATGTGTTTTGTCCAGTTCTTTATTCAAAACGCCAAGTACCTGGACACCCTCCACTGGTAACAGACGTTATTTTCAAGGAACCACTGGGGCAGAAAAACACTGAACCAAAATACAATTTCCTGGGCCTGAACCTATGCATATTTTGAGAAAGATTTCATTACTGATTGGCGTTTCTCTACAAGCGCAGAGTGGGAGTGAGAATAATTAGTAGCTAATGACCTCACGGTTTTGGGATAAGTCCCTTCACATCTCTAGACCTCTGTGAGCAGCTGGGCCAGAGGCTACTTGAGGTCTCTGCCATCACAAGCACTCCAGGGAAGCACTGACATGGGGAATCCTGCAAGTACCACTTCAATACGGGGCTGTTCCTAGCATTGCAGCAAAGGAAGAGACAAAGTCACCCAAGAATGACTAAAAGCAGAAGGACAAGAAGTAGAAGTAAACCAGTGAAAGGTGAGCGTGTCTAGAATAAATGCCCTGAATAGAGACAACCTGGCTTTCTGCTGGGCTCACCCTTTCCTCAGGGGACTGCAAAAATTAGTTGTCTCCACTACAAGAAAGGCTAAGTAAAGCAGGGAAGACCTGGGATAAGCAAAAAAGGAGCTGGGGGGCGGGGCTTCTTGCTTCCCCTGAGGCCACTGAATACAAAGATGTCACAGAAACACTGAATATTATGAATCACTCCTCTGGAGGCCAAAAAATATCCTAAGTGTGGTCAGAGGAGGAGACAAAACATCTTGGCGGCTTGTACCATCATGTGCTTTTACACACATCAATCACGGACACTCATGCACATCTATCTGATCTGGCGACCCACCCGGGCAGCACTGCCTATAAATAATCTTCTAATTTATGTATTTGAAAGTTCAGCCATCACTCAGTAGTCACTAAATAGAATAGCAAGCAAGTCCTTTGCCTCCCTTCTTGTCCATTTCATCATCCTGCTGCCTGCAATTTGATGTGACAGTGACATCTCTAATTGCCATACAGAAACAAGGGTATGAGGACCTATTCATATGGAGTAGACATGAGCTTGAAGGTGCCTAGGTCCCTAATAACTTTGTTGTGCCATCACACCAGCACGCACTATCTATATCTAGACTTCATTGGGATGAGATAAAAATGAACACTGGCCTGGGCACAGTGGCTTATGCCTGTAATCCCAGCATTTTGAGAGGCCGAGGCGGGTGGATCACGAGGTCAGGAGTTCAAGACCAGCCTGGCCAAGATGGTGAAACTCTGTCTCTACTAAAAATACAAAAAATTAGCCAGGCATGGTGGCATGTGCCTGTAATCCCAGCTACTCGGGAGGCTGAGGCAGAGAATTGTTTAAACCTGGGAGGCAGAGGTTGTGGTGAGCAGAGATCATGCATCTGCACTCTAGCCTGGGCGATAGAGCGAGACTCCATCTCAAAAAAAAAAAAAAAAAAAAAAAAAAAGAATACTAACATTTTTAAGCCACTTACTTTCAATTTTCTAATAAATGCAACCAAACTTAATCCTAACTATACTTAAAAATTAGCCGCTTGTGGTTACGCGTGCCCGTAATCCCAGCTCCTCGGGAGACTGAGGCAGGAGAATCACTTGAACCTGGGAGGCGAAGGCTGCAGTGAGCCAAGATCATGCCATTGCACTCCAGCCTGGGAGACAAGAGTGAAACTCTGTCTCAAAAAAGAAAAAAACAGAAAAGAAAAGGAACTACAGGCAAAGGTTAATATGTGTAAGGAAAAGAAGACAGCAATCAGGTCAATAGCAGGGAACAGATTCAGCAATGGGCCTCAGTGAAATCTATAGCCAGGCCCTTTGCTGGGCAGGGCAAAAGGACAGTTCTGTTTTGAATGGTGTTACATGAGCCATTTCCCCTATGTACTGATCTCCATGGTTGGAAGAGTTTCTGCACGTCACAAATGCTACACATGCTCAATGCTCTATTGTGGACTGGGGTTCCCTCCAATGTACACAGTGCCCTAGATAAGTAGTGTTTTCTGTAAACCTAGGCTGGAGAAACCAGGCAGCACTTCAAACACCTCCCAGCCTTTTCTAGAAATAACTTCTCCCTGAGGCAATGCTCTACCACTGAAAACAGAACCAACTGGAAAGCGGAAGGAGGGGTGGAATGGTTGAAGGGGAAACTTTGAGTGGAACACAGAAAGAGCCTTGTTTCCTGAGCTACTTGAACCAAAACAAAAATAGCTCTACTTTTAGAGTCTTCATCGCCAGCTCTGGTGTGGCAGCGTCAGGCATGCTCACACCTGAATGACGAGCTCTCTGCAAAGATGAAAATGCCCAGTCTATCTTCTTTTTTCTGTTTCCTCTCCTGCCAAAAGAGTATTGTCCATTCTTTTAAAGCTATTCCCATTCTGAGGTGTCACTATTGTTGGCAGCTTGTCTTTTATTTCAAGACAATATCATTGTGCAAATGTTGCTAGGTTGCAAGATAAAAAGCACTGAATCAAAATGATTCAAATATCTCTTAGTAAAGGGCCATCTTTACTAGCTCCCTTCTTCAGAACCTTACTCAAAAATCTTCAGTTCCGAACCTTTCCAGATTAACCTCACTTGGCACTTCCTACTCTGATCTATGATCCACATCTATTTCTGACATGGATATGATTAGTTCCACGTAAAATGGCATAGTTCTCCTCTCTGCCCATTTTTCAAGTGACTCTTTCATCCAACAAATACATGTTGTGTGCTTTCTGTATGTCTGCCATTTGGAATATCATCAGTGAACAAAACACAGACCCTTGCCTTCACTGCACTCATCTTCTAGTTGTGCATGTGTGTGTCTTTATTTCTCTCAATAAAAGTGTCATGGCCATAACACCTAAAAAATGCCACAAAACAACAATCCCACAATCCCACTCAGAAAGTGAATGCATTTAACTTAAAACATGCGGTATGAATCTAAAGGAGCAGGGTCAAGTAAATGAGGCTGAGGCTGTGGCTCATACTTATAATCCCAGCACTTTGGGAGGCCCAGGCAGGAGGTTCACTTGAGGCCAAGAGGTTGGTACCAGCCTGGGCAACAAAATGAGACCCCATCTCTATTAAAAACAAACAAACAAAGAGGCTGAGAAAAAAATGGCAAGGGATATAAAAAACTGTATTTTATATTTTCATTGTGTCCAAAATAGGCTTATTAGAATGTAAACTTTCTGAGGACCAGGACTATGTATTTCTTTCTTTTTCTTTAAGGGGACATAATTTAATTTTAATGTTTAAAGGAAAAAAAAACCACCCTAGCTATATGATGGAGTAGAATGTAAAATCTGCATGAATTTTCAAGATGAAACATGAAACTTGAAAGCAATGTCTTTTGCTTGTGACAGGCTGCTTTGAACTAGGTTCTCTGAACTTTAAGCTGAGGAAAATACAACCATCACCTAAGTGGATAATGATAGCAGTCCTGTGGCTTGGGCAGGGTTATAATTAGGCTTTTTTTGTAGTCCAGAATTAAAGCCTAACACAGCAAATTGCTATATTTTATATATCATGGTATACACAGTGCCTAGAAAGGTCTAATAGTAAAGTGCTCAATAAATGTTTGCCAAATGAATGAATGAATGCCCCAGTCATCCCATGTATTTTTATAAACCTAAGAATAATGTGTGGCTATTTTTTACATACCAGTCCAAAGTTGTAATGAACTAATAAGCTTAAAATACGTGAGGTCAATTTCTAATTTATATTAAATGTTTCTTTCGTCCTTGCTCTTCTTTCTCTGTAATTCTGGGAAGCCTAAATATTAAGGTAAGTTACATAGATACAAGCAACTACAAACATTACAAGTTTGGACCATGGCGTCTTAAATCTGGGTGGAGATAAAGATTGGCAAGATCTCCCAAAGCAGTATTGTGAGAAGGTTCTGTAAGGCTGAGTGATTGCTTGGTGAAACTGGTAAGTATTATTTAACTCATCTTGGTAAGTTCTGATCTTTCCTTTGAAAATGACAGAGGAGTTAGTTCTAGGTTGATACACTCAAGTTAGCCTTCCCGTCTCCATTGTTCCACCTGCAAAATAAAGACAGGTTTTGCTTCCCAGAAAAGTTACTAACTTCAGAAGTTCAAAATAAGTAATATTTGTCAGCTAGAAAGCAACCATGTTTGTGAGTTGATCGTTTTGTGGGTGAGCTCTCTATAGAACAATTGAGGATTTACCTGAGAAGGAGCACTGCAGGAGAGTCCAGACAGCTCGCTGATCCGCGCAGCAGCAGTGGGGTTGCTAGAGCTGATGAGGACAGGGGGGCTGATCTCCATGGAGTGGCGGTTCTGGGACGCCTGGGAGGACTTGTTGGCCATTGTGAGGGAAGTGAAGGAATGCCGCTTTTTGGTGTTCTTCTTGGTGTCGGAGTGCTTTGGGGCAGTGCTGCTCTGGACTGCTGCCGAGGAACATTCTCCCGTATCAACTCCTGGCACAGGAGGCTTATCCCATTCTATCAGCTGCTTAGCAGCTGAGTTAAACTGCAAAAGCAACCGCCAGACCAACACAAGAAGGTTAAACAATTTCCAAGAATTCACTGAGGTTTATTTTCAACATGATTTTATCCAAACTTTCAAGTCACTACTTTAAAGTTTGCCTGTGCAGTGTCTGTTCGTCCCACACGAGATGTCTTTTCTCTCAGTATTGGAATTTCATTGTATCTATATCACAGGTAGACATTAAATCAAGAATAAACAATTCCATTGCAAGACTGAAAGAGTAAAAGACAATTTTATTAAGAATTTTTATAATGTCTGTTTTTAAAACTTGCCAATCACGTGTAAACCTATGTAACAAACCTGCACGTTCTGCAAATGTATCCCAGAACTTCAAGTATAATAATAAAAAAAAAACTTGCCAATAACAAATGAACATTGTTTTCAGCTCACTGTAAAATTTCGAGAAGAGCAATCAGAGGGTATATTTGTCTGACTGGATACCCTGTTGTACAATAATGGTTGGGTATTTGCTCAGAGCACAACTGAATAATGAAGGGGCAACTTTTGGGTTTGGTAACAATGAGCAAGAAGACAGAGAATAAAACCATTCAAAACAGACCAATGTACTTCTAAGTACGTTTACCTCCTGCCTTTCTTTCTGTATTCTGGGAGAACCTCACAAAAAGCTGGTATAAATTCTTCACAGGTTTTTTGTCATGTCATTGTATCAGTTATTGACCTGTGTACACAAACTTTCAATAATAACAGGATAAGACATGAAACTCAAGTTCTGTTGGCAAGCTAACTTCGTCTATCTCAAAAGCCCCAGTGTAAAGTAAGAGTACCAGGGGTCAAAATCCGTGTACTCCACTGACATTATCAGCAAGAAAGGAAAGAACACAAGCCTTTTGTTTTTCCTACGGTAAAATAAAACATTTCTGGAAAGCTTCAATGACAATAAGCTGCATATAACTTACCTAGATATTACAGTAATGGGAAACATAGCTTAACCTCTCATAAAAAAATTGAGATGCAAAATAATAACTTTTAAAAGGTAACTTAAATATAATATTAAGGAAAACAGTGATTTTTCTATCTCAGCATTACATATTGGGCACTTCACAAATGCCTTTATATAAAATAACATCATGTACTATTTTTCCCACCTAAATTGTTTGGGCTATGTCTTCTCATCCTATGGATAAGACCATCCTACTAGGGCAATGGAAACCCTGTCAGTCAATATTTTATGCAATGAACTTGCTTTAGAACAACTGGTTCCTCACAAAGCTGTGTTAACTGGAGCTCAGCCGTCACTGCTTCTATAAAGGATGGCAAATCAACTGACAATTTGTTCCTAAAAGAATTTGTTCCTAAAGACAATTTGTTCCTAGGGAACTCAAATTCAAGTGGCTTGTCTAGTCTATAATTAGTAGGATAAACCTTTATCAAACATGACCATATCTCTTCTTCAGACTTTAAGAAGTCTCTCCATGTGCTAATCTTTCAGAAATAATAGGCAGTAATGACAGAATAACACCTGTCAAGGCCTGAAGTACCAACAGCCAGAGAAAGGATCATGAAGACTTGTGTGGTATGTGTTTAGGGATGAAGGAATGAGGTGCTATGAAAGGGTAGCCCTATTCAGAACATTGTCATGGCATTTGGTCAGAAGATCCAGAATTTACAAATCCTTTCTTGGTCTAGCTGTCCCCACCTTGAGTGGTCCCCAAGAGTATAAGAAGCCCAAATGAAGCAAAGCAATGTTTTATATTACAGTGGGGGCAGCCCAAAACTCACTGCAGAGCTCTAATAAACTGCAGTGAACCATGGAGGGGTAGGTTCCTCTTTCCTACACAGGCTGGGTATAAGGAGCCTGGAAACCAAGCAGATTGAAAGGCTACTTCAACACCTCCATCCCAAACACAACACCCTCATGAAATGAAGGGCTGGTGCAGCAGGCAATGCTGAAGAAAAAGGAACCAGAGAATGTCTTCTTCCACAATAAGCTTATTTAGACACCTAGAAACAAATCTTCAAAAGCGCAAACCTAATCAGAGTGCTGGAGTCTGACCGATCAACTCGGCATCCTGTCCCACTGATTAAGAAGTCGGGGAAGAAGATGAGAAGACTTCCTTCACATTGAAGCCAAAAATATAAAGAGAGAAGACTATCACATCTATTTGATATTATGTTTAGATTAATTCTGGGGTCAAACAATAGGTTCCATTAGTGGTGCCTGTTTTGAAAGGTTCTGAAAAATTACATAGTCTCATCATGGTCATACTTGGCTGGCCAAGTGTCAGTTATATATTTAACACTGTGTTAGCATTTCAGGTTTCCATATGCTGTGCTCTGGTATAAACATCTGAGGATTAAAATATTGTTCCCAATAATTCCTGCTGCTTTCTCAATAGAAAAATACTGGGTGCCTCCTTTGTGTCTTTCTTCATATCATATATTCTCCATTAAAATAAATACACATTGAACATCTATTGGGGGGTTTGTTTGAGGGGGAAGCATCTCACTCTGTTACCCTGGCTGAAGTGCAGCAGCACATTCATTGCTCACTGTAGCCTCGAACTCCTGGGCTCAAGTGATCCTCTTGCCTCAGCCTCCTGAGTATAGGCATCCAACACCACAACCCAGCTAATTTTTAGTAGCGACAAGGACTCATTATGATGTCTAGCTGGTGTCAAACTTCTCTGCTCAAGTGATCCTCCTGTCTCAACCTCCCAAAGTGCTGGGATTACAGGTGTGAGCCAGTGTGCCTGGACTCTGAGCACCGTGTGCTGAATAACGTGCTCAGTACTAAAGATCCACAAATGCAGGAAAATGGTCTCTGCCCTTAAGGAGCTTACAAACATGCATAAAAATAATACAGTGCTTTCCATAATTTCTGTCTAGCTACTTTTGCTCAACAATATGCTTTTTGAGATTTATCCAGATTGCTCCAAGAATCAGTAGTTCTTTCTTTTAAACTGCTGTGTAATATTCTATTCTGTAAATATACTATAATTTATCCATTCTACTGCTGATGAACATGTGGGTTTTCTTTCCTTCTTTCCTGCCTTCCTTCCTTCCAATTAGACGGTGTCTATCAAGAACAATGCTGTTGTGAATAATCTAGTAAGTGTCTTTTGGTGGACATAAGCTGTCATCTGGATATTGGGTACATGTCCAGGAGTAGAACTGCTGGGCCACAGGGTTGGATGCTTAGAAGCATGTATATGCAGGTAGACACATTCTGGAGTGGTATAACAAGCCAACTGGCAAGTAGAAGGCCACGTTATCTAACTTTGTGGCCTTAATGGAGCCATTTTACCTCTATTGTTCATAGCTTCCTCATCTATAAAGTAAGTTGGAGCCAATGATTTTTTAGGTCTCTTTTAGCTCTCCACATGTATCATGCATAATCTCACTTTAAATGGACATGTTTCTATTTTATTTCTATTCCTCTAAATAGCCTAGCATATTTTTTTCTGCACTTCATTTTTATGCATTGACAGTAATATTTGTTAGCAAGATGTTGTCATACTTTAAAATTACTTGAGATTTCTTCTGAAGCAGCATAGATTAGTATTAAAAACACACTGTTCCTTGCTTCTTTCATCGGTTCCAGAGAAAATCATAAAGCTAGGACTATTTGGTAGAGGCATTAAGTAAATCAGGCAGAAACATAAAGCAGCTTTTGTTGTTAAGTATAACTTAACCTTTGTAACAATAGAGAAGCAAGAATCTGATAACTTTGAATAGAATTTTGATAAAATTCATGTATGAATGTTTGTTTGAGCTCAGTAGTGTGAGCTTTCTGTGACATTTATCTAACCATGACCTTCAATGTTAGGAGTGCACTCATCACCTGCAAAAGAAACTTGTATCCGAAAATACCTTCTTCCAAGCATTTGGTAAGCAGCTTTGATGAGACTTAGGTTGGATATATGGTAAAATTCAGTATACTGGAGATAAAAGCAGGGACTCTATAGTATTTAATACTCTTCAAATTCTTATGTCTCTTTTGGAGAAGAGTCTAAAATGTACAAAGAATGTGTTTTTGAGAGTTATCAGAAATACAAATAAACATGAGATGAAATACTGACAAAAATATCAATAATAACAAGGCAGCTTAAGAAATATTAAAGTAAACTTTTTGTGTGAGGTTGCCCTCTTTGCTAGAGAGAATATAGCTGTCTTTTAAAGGTGGGACTTACAACTTTTTTAAAGAGAAAACATTTTTTTAATGAGAACTAAGTTGAATAGTCACTATTTTATAGGAAGTTTTACAGAGAATCACTCTGTAGCTCTTGAGCACTGTAGGATACAAACAGTGTATCTGAGAAGAAATTATTTTAATTCACAACCCACTAGAGCAAGCTTGTCCAACCCATGGTCCTCTACATGTAGCCCAACACAAATTTGTAAAGTTTCTTAAAACATTATGAGATTTTTTTGAGTTTTTTTTTTTTTTTTTTAAAGCTCACCAGCTATCGTTAGTGTATTTTATGTGTGGCCAGAACAATTTTTCTTCTTCCAATGTGGCCCAGGGAAGCCAAAAGATTGCACACCCCTGGTATAGAACATCATGAAGTAAAAAGTAAAAGGCCTCAGACAGTTCCCCACATCTGTTTCTCCCCAATGCACTTCCCAGATGGATTTTCATTGAACAATTTAAAACATATCCTTCCATTTATTTCTATGTAGATGTTGTTATATATGTATCTACTTTATTGATTTTTAACACAAAACCAAGCCATCTATTCTATTCTCTCATGAAACAGTATTTCATGAACATCTCTGCATATAAATAGGGATAGATTGATTAACACAGTATTCCATTTTATAGAGATGTTGCCATTTACTATGTCTTGGCATACTGTTTTAATTTGTATTTGTATTTATTGATGAGATTAAGCATCAATTTTCTTCTTTTAGGATTTGCTTGTTTCAATGCTCCATCCATATTTGTATTGGGTTATTGGACTGAGAGAAATCCCTTTTTATTTTTTTTTTTGAGACATGGTCTCCCTCAGTCATCAAGGCTGGAGTGCAGTGGCACAATCTCAGCTCAATGCAACCTCTTCCTCCCAGGTTCAAGTGATTCTCTTGTCTCAGCCTCCTGAGTAGCTGGGATTATAGGTGCACGCCACAACAGCCTGGCTAATTTTTGTATTTTTTTAGTAGAGATGGGGTTTCACCATATTGGCCAGGCTGGTGTTGAACTCCTGACATCAGGTGATCTGCCCACCTCAGCTTACTAAAGTGCTGGGATTACAGGTGTGAGCCACTGCACCTGGCCGTAAGTACTCTTTCTATATTATGTAACTTATATGTATGTGTGTGTATATATTTATGTCTATTAAAAATAATGTTCTAATTTGTTTTTTAGCTTCATAGGTTTGTTACAGAAAAGTTTTTATTTTATGTGTCAAATTTATCAGTTTTTCCACTACTGCATCTTGATTTAACATCATGCTTTAAAAATCTTCTTATTCCACAATTGTTTTAAATAAGAAACCTACATTTCTTCTTAGTTTTGTTAATGTTTTCTTCTTTTCGTCCTTCCTTTTTACATTTCAGCCTGTGAACCATATGCCCATCTGGTTTTGCATAAAGAATAAGGTAAGGAGAGCACTTAGCACTTCGTTTCTCTGCATGACTCAGCAGTTGTCCTATCATCATTTCAATAACAGTCCATCTTTTCCTCACTGCTTTCAAATGCCATGTTTTAAATGCAGCTCTTCAACATTCTACTGCATCACTAAGTCCAGTGTTCCTTCTCCAGATAAGTCAGTCACTTTGAGGAAAATCAGTGAATGAATGAAATGCTATGGAATGGAAATTCATGCCCATTTACAGCCTCTTAGTAGACATGAAAATATTTTGCCTCATATTATAGGCCTTTACAAAATGCTCCATAATGACAATGAGAAACTGGTATTTCCATTTGCCTCCTATTCCTCCCTGCAATTTAGGTAACAAGGTTTTTGTTTTTGGATGACTCAAATATAAAAGCAAGCTCAGTCTTCATTTATAATACAAGACTTGCCCACAGATAAGGAATAACTAAGAGACTGAAGGGATTACTCAAGAGTCTTTTAAAATTGATATGAAAGCCTCTCTCAGATAACAGCTCCATTTAGGTCTCTGTAAATATTTGTTGAATGAACAGAAATGTTTGTCTCTTAGCACTCTCAAGGGAAGGAAGTGCTGCCTCCAGCCCAACACTATGCAACTGAAATATAATATGAGCCAAACTTGGAATTTAGATTTTCTGGTAGCCACATTTTAAAAGACAAAAAGAAATAGGTAAAACTCATTTTAATAATATATTTCATTTAGTCCAATATATCTACACTATAATCACTTCAACATGTAATGCATATAGAAAAGTGCTGAGATGGATACATTCTTTTTTTTATACTATGTCTTTGAACCCAGTGGGTACAGAGTGCTTCCGTCCCACTCAGTTTGGAGGAGTCTCACTGCAAGTTGCTCAACCCCAACATATGCATTGGATGGCATAGCTCTGGACTCTCCATAGCTCCTGCAGGGAAAGAAGCTGCACCACAGGGTGGCTGAGCTCCCAAGGCTCATTAAGCACAAAGAATTTGCTGAGGAGAGAAAAGACTGAAATGACTCCCCTGACCCCCCATGGCCCACATTTCTGAAGGCTCCTGGGTCCTGAAGCAGTACACTGGTAGCAAGTACAAGGGTTACTCATTTACGCCATAGCACAGGGAGAACCATCGACTCCTCATTCAAGCCTTGCTACTTCCTGCCAAGGGAAAAGGATTTTCACAGTAACTGCCTGACTGCACTAGGTAAGGAAGGTGAAACATCAGCTACTTAGCTCTTCACCTATTTTCATTATCTTCACTTCTGTTGGCCTGAGCTGTTAAAAACAAAATAAACTAGAATTTTCTTGCTCAGGTTTCTGATTTTGAAATGTAAGGTGCAAAGAGAAGGTATATGTCATTAGAAGCCTATAAAGAATTTTAGCTTAGGTAGCTGAAAAAGGAACTGTCAGAGAAAACCACAGGAAAAGCCCTGAACTTCAAGCTGAAAGGTTTAGGTTAGAGTTAGGTCTTTGTCCTCGCTGGTTCAGTAACCTTGGGTGGAACATATAAATTCCATGGTTTGGGTTTCCCCAGCAGTATAAAATGGGAAGGTAACATCACCTCTACACACCCCAGGTAGAAATGGGCATGGTTAAGTGCTCTGTAACATGTAAAGTGCTATATGAACACGAGTTATTCATACTATTCAGAGTCCAAGCTTGCTATTAACTTGCTTTGTTGCCTTGGGCAAGTCACTTGATCTTGGGTTTGCCTCCCATTTCTCATATGTAACATGAAGCAGGACTTAATGATCTGTAAAGTTTTATGCCTAGGGGAAGTACAAATACCTTTTCTCAACCCGATATTAAAAATATCTCATTCAAAATGTTCCATAGACAGAGACCTCCGTGTTGCCTATTGGGAACAGGGTCCTCAGGTATTCAGTGACCGGAATCAAACCTAATGGAGCCTTTTACTTATCCAAATGCTTTTTGAGTGACTATCAAAAGCCAGGCATGTATTAAATGGGAGAAAAGGGGAAACAGAGCCATACCTTCTCTGATTCATGAGAAAAGAGGACCTAGGAAACAGCACAATGGATTAAGGGTAGGAGGCTCAAAGTCGGGAGTCTGCAAAGCTCGGATAGGTGAGGTCCATGAATAAAGAAGGCCAGACAGAGAACAACAAGGAATGGCAGGCATACTCTAGTGAACTATGGTCAACTGGGGAGTGTCTGCTCCCTCTCAAGGGGCAACTGTTTGGCAGGGTCAGCTGTTTTTTTTTTTTTTTTTTTTAAAGGAAAGCTAGAAATTAGGCTTATGTAAAACCCCCTGAGTTTACATCTTAACTAATTTAAAAAAAAACACTCATAAAAGTCATGGGGATCATAGTAGTTGGTGATCTCTGATCAGGGAAGAAATAATAGAGAAGAAAACAGCAGGTGTAAGAAGAAAAGCAAAAGGCCCTCAGAATCTCAGAATCTACAAGAAAGAAGACCTTGCAAAGTTTCCCAGGCCAACCAAGGACCCAGAAATGAAAAAGGCACAGAGTTTCAGGGAGATTAAGAATAGTGTACTCAACCCAGCAATCCCCCTACCGGGTATATACCCAAAGGAAAAGAAATCATTTTATTAAAAAGACACCTGTACTTGTATGTTTATTGCAGTACTATTCACAATAGCGAAGTCATGAAGTCAAATTCAGTGTCCATCAATGGTCTACTAGATAAAGAAAATGTGGTACATATGCATCATAGGATATCATCCAGACAGAAAAAAGAAAGCAATAATTTCTTTTGCAGCAACATGGATAAAGCTTTAGGTCATTATCCTAAGTAAAATCACTTAGAAAATCAAATGCCGCACTTTCCCACTTAGAAGTGGACATAAAGATAGAAATAATAGACACTGAAGACTCCAAAAGTGGGAAGATGAGCAGGGGTGGGGGTGATGGTTGAAAATCTACTTATTGGGTCCGACGTTCACCATGTGAGTGATGGGTACATTAAAAGCCCAACTTCACCAATATGTATGTAATACCACTGCAACAAATCTGTACATGTGCCCTCTGAATCTGCAATTAAAAAATGTATTTTTGAAACAGAATAGTGGTAGATGTTATTGAGAGGACGAAACGACAAAAACAAGAGCTAAGAAAAGGCAGTTAGTAGCAAACAGGAGAAAAGTTTCAGAGACCAGAAGGGACAAAGGCTAATCTGGAAACCATTATTCTCAGCAAACTGACACAAGAACAGAAAGCCAAACACCGCATGTTCTCACTCATAGGTGGGGTGTTGAACAGTGAGAACACGTGGACTCAGGGAGAGGAGCATCACACACTGGGGGCAGTTGGCGGGGGGCGGGGAGGGAGGGGAGGGTGGGAAGGGATAACATGGGGAGAAATGCCAGATATAGTATGCACCTCAAGTAAAATAAATAAATAAATAAGAAAGCAGAGACGGCGAGCAGGGATAAGCGACTCTCCTGAGAATTTTAGCAGAAGAAAAGAGGTAGAATCATAATTTGAGGGGAATGCAGTCAAGGAATAGGTTTTTGGGGAGAGTAAAAAGCTTATCATTTTCCTATAGTAAAGGATAGCCAGGGGAAAAGGAATAACTGACACATGAAACAGTAAAGATACAGAAGATGTGACCAAGTTCCTGGAGGATTAAAGGCCTGGGTGAAGAAGACAGCAACCACAAATGAAGAGAAACACTTCCCAACTGTAAACAGGGAATGTGCATACAAATTTAAAATTCCACCCTGAAAACTAAGGCTAAAGAGGTACAAATGCCTATTGCTTCCAAGCAACAGACGTACAGTCTAATCATGGGGCTAGGGACAGAGACCAATGGATAATTTTTAAATTGGTCTCAGTTCACTTCACTGTGTTTACTGGATCTGATAATACATGAAGTTTTAGACATATGTTTTGTTCTATTTTGCATTTGTTCACTGAATGCACACCATAAATCAGAAATGTCTGTTAGTCAAAAGCATCATTCCAATGACAAATTTTATTTTCCACAACCTGATTACCAGATGTAGGGATACTACAAAAGAAATATACATGTATCTCAGGAGGTTATGAACATGGAATTGTCATTAATTCTAAGCAAAAATTTGTCAATGTGAAATGACACACTGACAGAAATTCCAGAGTGATGTGTAATCAGTTAATAAATCAGTGAACATGTATTTTCCCTGCCCTGGATGCTTAAAGCATGTGTGGATGTGTATGGAGGGCAGGGAGGAGGGTGGTGATCACCAAGAAGGTATCTGGCACAGAAAGAGAATACTGTACCAAGGATACTGAACATCATGACTTTGCACGTTTGTTTGAGATCTTCCTTCTTCTCAACATATGAAGACATTTTTGCCCCACAAATATGTGAAGCCTACCAGGCACATTACCACTAAACTTTGTCATAAAAAGCAATGTTGTTTTATAACACTTAGGAAAAAAACCCTCCTAAAACATTCCATTTCACTCTAGAGAAGCCTGTTCCCATTGATGTAATAAAGATGCTTCTGTTCGAGCCATTTCTATGCCACACATGCACATACATGCTGGACCAGTACAGAATATTCATTCAGTCTGTTTTACTCAATATGAGACATAACACTTGATGAATTAAAACAAACCTATTTTGCTTATTAAAGCTTTAGGTACTAGAAAAATTTAGAGCATCTATAACAACAACAAAATATTTAAGTAATAAAAAATTAAAAGTTGAAAAGACATTAAAATATTATGATTTTGATTAGTTTTTTATTTTTCTTGTAAAAAAGGCAACCTCAGATATTTAAAATTGTTGAGTAGTGACTAATTTCTGAAAATTAACCTTTTAGGTATTAGAACATGAAATATTTCATAATGAATTATGAAACATTAAAATGCCCTACACACTTTTTAAGCAAAACTGGATAATAACAATGATTCTAACCCACCATTAGGAATGCTAGTTATTGAATGTGCTCTGAGATTAGGGCAGGGCAGAAGTCTAGGGAAGCAATGAACTGCTGGCTGGAGACCACAATTTCCCTTCTCAATCCCTGGCTCTGTGGCCCCTGAACAAGACATTTCTCTATAAAATGGTAAAAATAATTAAATTATGGATTAGCTACTACAGCATTTATTAGATAGTCATAAAAACTGATGTTCAGTAGTATTACAATTATATGGAGAGGCAAAATCATGTGTAATATCATTAAAGCATAAGGAAAAAGAATGGAAGGCTATTTACCAAAATTATACACGATGAGACAGGATTATTCATTTCCTTTCCAGACTTTCTGGAATATAATTATATTGTAGAAATAAAATCATTAAAAATATTCTTTACATAAGATATGGCTCTCAAGAAACAGAGGAAAATAATAAATCATCAACAAACCTAACTACACTCTTAGCATGTGCCAGCCAAGTAAGAATGGTACAAACGGGGTACTGTGGAAGTTCAAAGCCAGGAGAGGGGGCTTTTTTGGTTCTGTTTCACAGAATTTGTTTAGTTGCATTTAAAAATTAGAAAAGAAAGGCTCAGTGAGAAATGACAGTATTTATTTGGACCTTGAAGGTGAGCTTTCTATTCAGACAAAGAAATATCCTTGATGAGCTGTAAAGACAGCAATTACAGAGTATGTTTTCCAGGAGTGATCAGTAAACTTAGCTAGGGCCCTGGGTACAGGCAGGAAAATACGGCAGTGTTAAAGAATTTGGCAATTCTTTAGGGTGTCATTGTGGACCTTAGATACCAGTTGGTGATTAGTCTAGGGCTCTGATTAAGGCTATGCAGGAAATCTGCATTTTTACATTCTATGAAACTACCTGGAGTACTGGAAGCTGTCCATTCATGCAGTGAGAACTCCATAAACATTAACTGATCTTTACAATCTCAGCTCTCTCAATGTTTTCCTGATGGAAAACAAAAAGAAAGTCTTAAATTAGAAAGAGGCCTCTGAATAATAGATAAAGCATAAACTATCCTAAATAAAGTTCTTTACCTAATCTAAACAACTCCTTTTTAGATTGAGTCTCTAGCTATATTCCATTAAGCAGCTGTTCCTGGAGCTCAGAGACTTGCCTTTCCCTTTAGAACTTCAGGAGCCAGTGTTCATTTTTCCTTCTATCATTGTGGCAGAAAGAAAAGCAATAATTACTTATATCAAGCAGAGAGCATTCAGAAGATGTAAAAACCTACACCATGGGACATAGCCTACAGTGCTTAAAAGAAAAAGGCAGATCCAATGTATTCAGTCAATCAGAATTAAGGATGAAAGTATGATGCTAAGCCACAGAGTAATTCTCCCTTACTTACTTTTCAGCAATGTCCTTAAATTTCTCTTACAAAAATGTATTTACTTCAGGTTTGAAGGGGAAATCTGGATGCTAAACAACACAGTAATTCCCTCTTCCCAACTTCCCCACAATTGCCCTACATTTCTTTTATAAACAATGATTTAACTTTTTAATTTTAAAGGAAAAGAATACATCTAAAGGAAAAAAATATATCCAAAAGTATAAATGACACTATCTTTTTATATAGTTCAATCAACTCTTTGATTATTAGATCAAAAGCTATTATTGCACCCTTCTGCTATCATTATTCTCAAGAGGGAAAGGCTTTTAGTTAAAAAATAAAGTTAGCATTGTTATTCTTAGCTCCTCCAAGGGTCACCTTGGCAACTTCAAACTATGTATCTAAACTTCCACTTCTTATTCTTTGGAACACAGACATTATCTTCCAGTTTTCTCACTCCCTAGAAGAGGAAGCTAGCACCCCCACCTTTAAGGCCACTTGTGCTCCCTGAGCCCTACACATTTGATTTTCCATTGTTAAAGCTGACAACACATTCTATTCCGTTGCCAGAGGAATGTCTCCCATGATTTGTCTATGGGTTGATTCTAGAAGTTGAATACAACTAATCACTCCAAATTGTACCCTTTAAATATGTGTAGTTTATTATATGTAACTTATGTCAATAAATTTCTTTTAAAAATAAGGATCCTTGACAATAAAGCTATCCTACCTTAGCTCAAAGTAAGCCAAAGGAGTCATTGCAAACTAGAGAAAATTCATCTTAGAATCAGGGAGTTTTGTTTTTGTTTTTGTTTTTTTGAAATGGAATCTGGCACTGTTGCCCAGGCTATAGTGTAGTGGTGAGATTGCAACTCACTGCAGTCTCTGCCTCCCAGGTTCAAGCAATTCTCCTGCCTCAGCCTCCTGAGTAACTGGGACTACAGGCATGCGCCACCATGCCCAGCTAATTTTTTTGTATTTTTAGTAGAGACAGGTTTTCACAATGTTGGCCAAGATGGTCTGGATCTCCTGACCTCATGATCCGCCTGCCTCGGCCTCCCAAAGTGCTGGGATTATAGGCGTGAGCCACCATGCCTGGCCAGAATCAGGGAGTATTTTTTTCTTAATATTTTATTTATTTAATTGACAAATAAAAATTGTATATTTTTGTCATGTATAAGATGATGTTTTAAAACATATATACATTGTGGAATGGCTAAATTGAGCAATTCACATATGCATTACCTCACATAGGTATCATTTTTGTGGTAAGAACACTTAAAATCCACTCTCAGCACTTTTCAAGAATATAATAATATACTATTATTAACTATAGTCACCCATGGACCTCTTGAACTTACTCCTCCTACATAACTAAAATTTTTATATCCTTTGACCTACCCTACCCCCAGGGGGCAGTCTTCTCTACACAGCTAGCCCTCCACATGCATATTCTGGCCCCACATCTGAGGAATGGAGGACCGGCCGTAGTACACCATTTTATGTAAGGGATTGAGCATCCACAGATTTAGAAACCATGAGGAATCCCGAAACAAACCCCTGTGGATACTGAGGGACAACTGTATTTAAGAAATAAATAACCAGTAGAGATTACAAGATCTAATCCATAGAGTATCACTACCATTATTTTAATTTGGGAAAATTCTAAACCAGGTACAACCAAATAATAGCCTAGATTAAAAAAAAAAAAAAAAAACCGTAAGAAACAGGAAAAAAGCTTGCACTAAGGTCACACAGAGCAGCTGGCTCTGAAGAAGGTAATGTCCTGATGTAACACCCAAGATAAACCAATGATAAAATATATGCATAGGCAATGAATGATGGGAGTATTAGCTGAAAAATGTAAAAGTGAGCAAAATCTAGGTTTGTTTTGGGTTTAGAACCTTTCATTATAAAAATTCATACGTTGCTCATTCCTTTAACCAATATTTATTGAAAGCCTACTATGGGCTGTGCAAGGATCCTGGGGAACTGGCCCTCGGGAGTTTGAATTCAAATGGGGAAATGGAGGGTGAGGGGACAGCTAGTAGCCACATCAACAAATAACTGGAAATACAGAGAAAAAAGTGCTAATAATTTCTAGGGCTAATAATAACAATGGTGATAATGATCACAGCCATCACTGACACTGCTCTTACTGGTGCCAGGTACTATTCTTAAGTATCACTGGAACTTATTATTTTACAAATGAAGAGCCAGGCCCAAAGTCACTCAGATAATTAGTGGTAGAGCCAAGACTTGAATCCTGGCCATCCAGAGTCCAAACTTTCTCCCACTATGGCACCACTATGTGTTTGAGGTAAAGCAAATGAGCAGCGACTCCTTTAGATGAGGCGAGGGAAAGTCTGTCAGAAGAGGTGACAGCTGACATGAGATCTAAAGAAATGAGAAATGCAGCCCTTATTTCTGGCAGTAACTACCTAGTAAGAACAGCTGTCTATGAAGCCATTCCAACTTCAGGCCTTCTGTATATTACCTTTTATCATCTGTAGCAGAGGAGCAAGTTGCTAAATAACTTTTTTGGTGTTGAAAAACTGCGTGAGTGATATTTCAAACAAATGACCAGGAGTCAAAGTAAAATGAGAAACTTAATAAAAATTTATGGTTCACTGTAAGCCTACACTACACAATTATGTTTGGAAAGCATCCAAAATTCCATATTCAGCACTTATTTCATTCAAAATTTTTGCTTGCTAAGAATCATGTCATCCAAACTTGAATGAATGAGTCAGCTCCAAATTCATGGGGTTAAAATCTTTCCTCCTATTTTACAGAAAACTAGTGTTTCTGAACAAAGAAAGAAGCAGATAACAAATTTATTTTTTTAAACTGTATTCAGTCCTTAAAAAAATACACTCTTTTATACATATCCTGGCATGGTGTCTTCAAGGACTGCTTTTAACCTTTACTATTTTCCAGCTTACACAAGTGAAGAAAGGACCTGTCTAAATTGAATAAAACCCATAACCTCTAAGGGTTGACCAAAGAGAGGTCTGAAAGAAATCTCCAGAGGGGAAGGGTGAATGTGATCAAAGCAAGAGAACTCTTACCCTTATCTTAAGAGCTCAACAAGGACTCCAAGGCACTGAATTCAGGGCCATTTTATATAGCCATTCTTTCCCCTCCTCAGTCTCCCAACCAGACTCTCCTCCATTCAAGCCTTGAAGAATTTTGTGTTCTACTTTATTAAGCAAAGTGTTCTGCATTATTAAAACGAGATTTGTTTGCAGGTCACTATACCACCACCACTATTTTACCATCTTACTCCAGTCCATGTAGAGATAACATTTTGGCATGATTTTGAAAACTAAAATGACAAATTGTAACATTGTAGCCAGCACTCAATTTCCTCCATAGACAGTGAGATTGCCAACGTTTTCATAAAAAATCAGTTTGATAGTCACAGGATGCTGAGGAAGAAAAGGATAGTTGAGGACAGAAAGGGAGGGTCAACTATTCCAGTAGCATGCCTCACCACCTCAGTCCTCTCTTTATCTCCCTCCAGTGCTTAGCTCCTTTCAGTTTACCTGCCTCCTAATTCCACAGCTCCACATTTGAACCTGTGACCCAGAGATTCTACTCCGGGTCCACAATCCTACCCCAAGGCCCATCCTGTGCAGACTTTCTGCCACAGGCAAGTTCCTTGGGCATTTCCATTACCTAAGTCAGCCAGCAGAAGTCAAGGGGAGATCCAGCTTCTGTCACTACATATGGTAATTAAGTTCTTTTATTTGATTATTACCAGGCTCTGGTATGCTCTGGGTGATGGTCTAATCTGAGCTCCAAACCACCATGCATAAGACATCGTAGTGTCAGACCCTTGGCAATACATCACCTCGTTCAATCTCAAAATTTCTGAGGGATAACAGTTTTTGTTATCCCTGTACAAAAAGAGCAAAACACCTAACACCGATGGAGACTTAAATGTCTGTTTATAAGATATAAGGGAATTATTTACCAGTGAATTTTTGTGATGCAGCCTGTTTTTATACTGGGATTGTTTGGCCCCATGAAGTGGAGCAAATATGAATAGGTTTACAGAGCTAGAGACGGATCATTACTCAAGAAAAAGCCAGTTTTTTATTGCTACAGTTTGCTTTACCACAGCTAAGAATGCCCTGCAAGACAATCTACTTTACTGAAATACTTGAATTTCAGTAGGTTACCATTGAAATCTGCCTCCACTTTATTGCCCTAAGGGTAAACCAGGTGCCACTAATCCCTAGATACTTTGCTCCCTCTACCAGGAAGTTCAATTCTTGATGGCTTGACATCAAAGAAATGTTCATAGGCTTTTAAAGATAGACAATTTGTTTACCACATCTCAAATGGCAAGATTCTGGTTCAAGTGAGGAAAATGCTCATTTGAAGGAAAAGAAGCAGAAGAATGAAAGTACTTTCCACTGGGGCAGAAGTTTATCTTTCCAACTTAAGTCAGAGTAAATAATCCTAATGAGTCAAGTGACTTGAAGTGACTCTGGACTTGCCATGGGTGGATCTTTTACGCCTATCTGCACAATTCCATACTTGCCCAATAACAAAAATATAGTAATCCCTTTTCATGCATCACAAACCAAGTATCAGCATGTAATATTGATAATACCCAACAAGTAAAGACAGGCTTTCATTACTAATCTGGTGCTTACCCATGCTCTTCAGTGTAACTGTTCAAAGACTTGGAAGTGCTTGTAGTTTTCCATGACCCACAGAATATGTATGTAATGTACAGGAAGGACTGCCTGTGAGTTAAGGGTTATTTATTTTTTTTCTGTTGTTTGCTTTCAAAGGAGGAAAAAATATTTCAATAAACAGGAACATCTGAAGGGTATGGATAAAATTCAAGACCCATACATGGTCTGAATTACTTTCCCATGGATATACAGTAGTCAAACTGATTTTTTATGAAAACGTTGGCAATCTCACTGTCTATGGAGGAAATTGAGTGCTGGCTACAATGTTACAATTTGTCATTTTAGTTTTCAAAATCATGCCAAAACAAATGCCTCAGATAAAAAGATGGCAAAATAAGTGACAGTGGTTTTTCATTTTCACATGGTTAAGATACGTGCTTTGATATTTTAAACAACCGGATTACTTTCAATTCCCCAAACAATCTTGTGCTCTCTCTTACTTTTTGGCTTTTGCACATGCTGGTCTCCCTGTCTGGATGTTCCTCCTGCCATAAAATACAGCATTTCCATTTCTCTTGGTTAACCCCTATGTATCCATCACACAGATATTTACTAAGACCTCACTTCTTACCAGGAGACTTCCAGTGGCTTCAACGGACCTTGAATGGTTGTCTGGGCCACACTTCATTCTTTCAAAATGCCTTGAGTTTTATTTTCAGCAAGAAATTCTTATTCCCAAAGGACACTTAGTTTATGATACATGATGTAATGAAAGCCTACTATAAATTGTAACTCCTTTGTTCATGTTCAGCTGGTATTATTCTTTAAAATAAAGCCATGTATGTACCTATGCAACAATCCTGCATGTTCTTTACATGTACCCCAGAACCTAAAATACAATAAAATATATATATATTAAATAATAATAATAATACAACGATGTGACTTTACACATACTCTCTAAAAAGACTTTACTGTGTCAGGCTTGGCCACAAGCTTTCCAAGCAAAACTGCTTTAAAAAGGGAGAGAGGGATAAGCAGTTGCTGGGATGGGATGGAGGCACATTCACTGACTTGTTTAACAAATGTTTATTGAAGCCCTACTTTGTGAATCACTATTCTGGTTCTGCTGATGCAGCAAGTAACAAAAAAAGTAAGTAAAAAATAAACAAATATACTTATTTCCATCTTACTTAAGAGCTTTGTCAACTTTCCACTCCCACAAAACCCAGCAAATGGAATAAACAGGAAATAGTGTAGGTGACTGACAGTAAGCATACAGTGACATTTAACAAGACATAGGAATGCTTTTAGCAGGGAGAAAAAGTAAAGAGTTTCAAGTATCTCACTGACTTCAATAATTGTAGGATAGGATGTAGGCATTCTTCCTGATCTGTCCAGTGATCTGTAACAGGGCATTCCTGGTGCTTTTTGTTGTAAGGACTTCTCAGTACTCAAATTGCATAATTAAGATTTAGTTAGTAAGCTGAATATTAACGCAGTACAAGTTTCCACAGATTAATTTACCTCAACATATGAAATTGGAAATATTCCTATCTTGTCTGCCAGCATTCCTTCAGCCCAGTTTTCATCCACTCTTCGGATCACAGTCAGAACATCATCCTGAAGAAACAGCAAATCATTAATCTACCTGATCATTAAGCTGTACCATTAAGCTTATCATTTAATTTTCCTTTTCAATAAAGAGATGCATGTTTTAAAGAGTACGTGAATAAAAATGCTATGACATCTCTTTAGTTCATGAATTAAATGTTTTCATGAATTAAATGGTAGCTACCAGTCCACCTGGTATCCTTTCCAACTGTTGTAAAGCTATGAACTCTATGCAATGGAGCTGGCTGCTAACTTTGTTAAGATCTACAAATTGCAACCTCAAATGCTACCTACCCTAGTCTCCCGAGTTTCTGTTTTAGATTGATTCTCAGGTGCTTCTCATTTTCTGAAAATAAACCAAACGCTTACTCAAAGGCAACTCCTACTGCCTTTCTTCACAAAAATCACAATATTCTTCTGAAAACTCCAAACCATTTTATCAATTCGGTAGATATATTCTTGTATGCTTTTAGGCAAAGAAATCTACATATAAAATAAGAAAGTAATGACATTTCATTTTGTTATTCATAATTCAGTACTTTAAAATCCCTGAGTGGTGGATACACTCTTTAAAGTGGCTTAGAAATAACTTCAGACTCTAAATATGAAAATGACACCATATAGAGCATCAACCAAAATAATCTTTCATATAAGAAATCTGTGTGCAAAATTACCTTCCTTGTGACTTAAAGGCTGCTTCTAGGCATTTTTAGAAGCACAGTGAAATAGTTCACACAAAACGATTGTATTGTTTCGCAAACGGCAACACAAGCTATATTCTCAGGTATCTGGGTACAGAGGTAGAGCTGGCAACCAGAAGACAAGTGCATCTGACTTTTACCTTTGCGAATGGAAGGCAATCTTTGTCTGCTTCCTTGTCTTTCACTTCAAAGTCATAAAGTGCTTTGCACTGAGGTGGGGGCTGAGGTAATGGTTTAATAATCTGCACAAAGTTGGTGGGGAAAAAGCCATGGATTCCATTGACTTCCCCATGGTACCAATTTTCATCCACTTGTCTTCGCAAAATGATGATGTCACCTTTGCTGAATTTCAGGTCTCCAGGCTCCTTGCCTTCGTAGTTGTATAATGCTTTGGCACATGGTAACTGAGGTATACCCTTTAAAAAGAAAAGAAGGATGAATTTTAATAAAATGATGGTCCTAAAATGTCGCTGAAAATATAGCTGCATTATCATTGTTTTAAAGTCAAGGTCAAATCCACACTGTACCCCTTGAAGAAAATCTCACACAAAAACCATATGTGTTACCAATAAATAAAAAATATAAAACAATTGTCCATAGTGAAATAACAATAGTATGACATCCATGC